GAAATGGAAGTAATCCCAACAATTATGAAACAAGAGATTCCTCGAAACCCAACTTTTCTTCATATATAAACCTTTGACAATCCTGATTTAGAAAACGTATTACATTTAGACATTAACACGCAGACATACACATACGCATACCCTCGTTCAAAGGTTACAGGACCACTATGAACGATAATTGACCAAACTACTCTATCTCGATCCATCTAGGTTTTTAATTTTCTTTTGGCTCAATTGAGTCCATATAAGAATTAAGATAGAGCCGGATACTGTTCTTGCTTTTGTGTTAACGTGAGACTTTTACAAGAATGACACCCAGCTCTTATGCTGTCCATCATATGATGGACGAAAGCTCAGCACGTTTTCATTTAAAACGAGGAAGAGGGTGTTGTGGACTGCGTCAACATGAATATCGTATAAAAGCTAAACAACTGTAGTACAACGAGATTTATCCCTCCTCATCTGGTGAGATCGACCAACCAATTTCTTCTTCATTCACTTTCATACGAAATGAAAGTCCTCCTAACAATTTTATCTCAAAAAAATCATCGAAACCCAGTTTCTCTCCGTCTCTATAATCTAGCATGCCAAGCATCATTAGTGAATTGCTCATAGCATTTATTCTTTCGTTGCTTTAGGAAATAAAATCAACCGAGTGCTCATGCTGGTAAGTGGCAAGCCTCCTAATACACATGGTATCAAATAATCATGTAGTCAAATTCATTATTTTAATCTTATTAGCTTAGAGGAAAAGTGCATTATGCAAAGGCTAATGAAACTCTAACTTATAAAAGTAAATTTTTTAACGGCTAGTTTATATAAGCTTTTTACGCTGTCGTTAGATTTATATGAATCCTATTAAACTAAAAAATATATCTCTTATTATAACTCGAAACAATTCTACTATAAAAATGATTCAAGATACATCTGGCTTACTAGCCTGTAACTTGCTGTGTCGCTGGGTTAATGCCGCCACGATTTTAAAAGCCTGCTAATTAATATCATATGGTGCGCTGCTTAAGCATATGCAAGTTCGAAAAGGAAGTAAATCCGGATGAGAATGCCTTTTCAGAGCCAAATTTAAGTAAACTTTTACGTTATCGTGATCCTTATTCCTCTCCTCATTAAAAACACAAATGTCAACTCCTAAATCACTTCCAGCTACCTAGTGTGATTCAGTTTTTTTTATTTTTGGAGAACGTTATTGTGCAAAGGGCCATAAAGCTTGCGGTGTCGAGAAGTCAAACAGAATATGGATGGTTAACATGCATATAAAGATGAAGACTGCGCAGAAGTGTCCTGAGCAAAAGGCTCAAGAGAGATAATAAAATATGTCAAAAAGAGGCTATGCATTCGGAGTTTTCTTCGAAGGCACTATCAATAACAATTTCTTAGTCAATACAAGATTCTTAGATTGCACAAAAGGCGAAAAAAATTATAAAATCAGATCGTTACAAGGCCGAAATTTTTTATGGGGAAAGAAGAGATAATAGGGATGTAAGAAGAGATTTTTAATTAAATACCCGTAAACAAAGCCGAAAACTTTCTTCAGATAGGTAAATGCATTAAAAATGTATGGTTAACTTTGTCCAAATGTATGTAAAGAAATATCTGTTCTAAGCAAGGCCTAATGCATGGACATCTTAATATTTCTGTGGCAACTTAGTTCGTATGATTTCTTATGAAATATAGTTACAAGGCTGTTTAAAGGTATAATATTTAACTTGAGCACTTAGGTTTTACGGGCTATATGTTGGGAAAAAGCAAATTATTTAAGCTGCTACATAGTTTATATAGAGGCTGAATAATGAGTGATAAAACTATATTGGTGTAGCCTTATTAAATGCAATTCCTTATGGGATTAAATAGATTTGATCGAAAATTTTGGCCAAAGAATGCTAATATTGGTATATATACAAATATTTCAATAAGCATATCTTACAAATGCTTTAAGAGATGTAAGGCATTTTTATACAAGAATCATTAATAAAGTATCATCTAGCCATAGGAATTCAGAGTGATATAGTTAGAAAAAAAATATCTTCAGTCAAGTTTTCAGTCGCATAAGGGTATCGTAAATTACAGAATGCGTTGAAAATTCGAAAATAAAGAAGATATTCATAAAAATAAAGGAAAGCATTGAATGCGATTATGTTGCATCCAGACAACCACAATAAACAACTACAAATAGTTTTGATTCAGAATCGTGGAATTCGAACTGAAGAACGGCTGCGCCCGAGCTCTGCTTGGTTCTGCTCTTCATTACGCCGAAGAGTTCCACAATTTGAACCTTGTCCGAGCTGATTTTCCTGTTGCTGCCTTAGCTTTTCTTCAGCATATTGCAGATAGAATGGGGGGTAAATACCCGAAAATGATCCCCTAGTCAAAATATCGTTTCCCAACGGCCAAGCCGGCTCATCAGCGTTCATATCATCACCCGATAAGTGACATTGCAAAGCTCGCGAAGATGTTGAAAATGAAGATACTGACAGTCCACCAGTGCTTAGAGCACCATGATAGCTACCATTATAGCTACCACCATAACCATTGACTGCTGCCAACGATGAGGCAGCTATGGATGGTTGCGGACTTCGCTCAAGTAAGTCACCATTCAATCTTTTATTTTGAAAGCTGCTATTGCCCACAAAGCTTGCAGTTGTTGCACTATTGCATGCGGTCATAGTAGTTGCCATAGTGTCATCTCGTTTTAGGCTCTGCCTTCCACCAACACAAATTGGCCAGTTGAAATTTGAGGTTGAAGCAGAGTCAGAGAGGGAAGCATGCTGAGCTGCTATGCCAAAGGTTCCAAAATGTGTAGGTTTGCACAAATCGGAAGACAGTGATGACGGATGTTGGAATAATTGGTGCAGACGACTGCAGTTTTCCTCGTTCGTATCAACTAAAGAGGTTAAGTCGCCTGGATCAAAGTCACCAAAGGACCCTATCATTGGCCGATGAGGCAAGACCGATAGAGTGACCTGTGAAAATATGCAGATATGATAAAAATGTTTTATTTACATGTGGGTGAATAAATTTGTTCAAGTGTATGCATATACCAAAGATTTAATATAGCAGATTTTCAAAGAATATATACTAAGAATGCTGTATTTTGAGTGACATCAAAATTATTGACAAAAATTCACTGTATTAGAGTGCGTATAAAAATAGCATTAAATGAATAAAGAAGAAATAACTCAATTGACACACAATGAAGGTCATTTTTATATAATTTTTTTAAAATATATTGTCAACTATTTTTTCAATTAATAATTCTGGGACTTATACATTAAATACTCTACCTATTAAAAAATACTTAAATAATTCTTCAGCTAAAGAAGTAAGCGTCGGAGAAAAAAGAAAACTAATTGTTTACCCGCGAAATAAGGCCGTTAATTTTGTCGCTGGATCCTCTTGTCATATAGTTGGATAGTTTATTTTCGCCATTTATTATTGCTTGATATAAATTTCAAAGAAAATAGCCCATAGTAAGTCTTTATTCATTAGTGTTGTGTGTCCTTCCAGCGTCAGACAGTTGGGTGTGCACATTCGCATAGTTTTAATTAGGCAAAACTAAAACTTTTTACTTAGAATAAAGGTGATATAATGATTGAAAGCAGAGTTCTTATAGACGAACTATTTAAAGTTGTAGAAGTAGGTTGATAGGTACTTGGATGACGCCTATAATTATCTCAAAGTTAATATTTTAATGATAATTTAATTTCTATACAGCTTGTTCGAATATTTATTAGCTTGTTATAATGGCAAGGCGCTGTATAATGAAATCCGAAATATAAAAAGGTCAATGCTGGGGTACTCAACCGATATTCTTTATTAAGAAGTAAATAGCTGGTTCAAGCAATTATATATTGCACGGGTGCAATTTCAGATAAATTACCCGATATTATATGCAAAAGAAAATGCAACTCAAATTTAAGAGAACTTATGAATTAACCTAATACCGACTGAGATCTATACATGAAAAATGTATTAATACTGAAAAACTCTATGTTTAATATCGCTAAAACTATTTCAAAGTGAAGCAGATCGGCGTGCCACTTTATGTCTTATTCTTCTGGTTTGACCCATTAATGAACATTCTGTAAATACTGGGCTTAGCAACCATATTAGTAACATTTGATTACTTTAAATATTTCGCATGCCGTGAAGCATGAAGCAAACTAACATATTTAATTGGATGGGGATTTTGTGTCTCAGTTACTGTATGTTAACTCCGCCAGCATGGCCATGCTTTGAAAAAATATTTGGGTGATCAAGGGACAAAAAAGACGTCCAAACCCTTCAATGATATTAGTGAGAGAATTGCTTTGCAAGATTGATTAAATTGAGACTTTTAATGAGGAAAGAAATGTTCACAAACTATTGTGAAAATTTCAACATTTAGACATAAATTAACCAAAGGGAAGGGAAGGTGGTATATTCATAATACAGTATTTCTGATAATTAAAAATACCACGAGATCTATCATGGTTTGATTTCCTCAATCAGACAACCAGTCCGCATAAAATGCTTGTTTCCAAAGTTTCCAAATTCCCCTTAAGCTTTTTAAGCCAGCTGGACGTGATAG